GGCCTAGAGTTTAAGCCCCATGACAGACCAAAAAAAAAAAAAAAAAGTTCTCAAAATATATAAAAACTGTTCAAGAGCTGGGCACTGGTAGTTTATGCGCTAATCCTAAAATGAGGCTGAGATCTGAGGATCACAATTCAAAGCCAGACTGGGAAGGAAAGTCTATGAGCCACATCTCCAATTAACCACCAAAAAGCCAGAAGCGGAGTTATGGCTCAAGTGGTAGAGTGCCAGCCTTGGGCAAAAATAGATCGGGAATAGCACTCAGGCCCTGAGAGTTCAAGTCTCAGGACCCAGCACAAAAATAGAAAATCAGAACAAAAACACCTGTTCAGGAAAAAAAAAAAAAAGTCACTATCTTACCTGGAATACTTTCCCAAAAGTTTATGACTTTGTTTTTTTGAGACCAGGTCTTACTTAACATAACCTAGGCAGGCTAGCCTCACTTATGATTCTCCTATCTTGGCCTCCTGAGTACCACCATTATAGTCTCGAAATTGCAGGTGTCAATCACCTCACTCACTTCTCCATTCTTGTTTTATAAAGCAAAGCCAGAGGCAAAAGAACAACAGGTATGTCAACTGACCTGCTGCTACCAAAGAACAGTTTTGATGCCATAGTAATCTGAGCCCATACTTAATGCTTATTTCATAAAGAAGAACAAAAAATTTAAAGAGGATATAAAACCTCCAGTCTGAATTAGGAAAAGTAGACTCAAGAGCATGAGGAAGATCAGCTCTTTGGAAATAATTTAGGCCTGCTTTTTAGGTTTTATGAGGACACGTTATCTGTAAAATGACCAACAAAAAGATACATTAGCTAAGCCGGGCACTGGTGATACACACTTACAATCCTAGCTACTCAGGAGGCTGAGATCTAGCTGAGGATTAGAGTTCAAAGTTCAAAGTTCAGCCTGGGCAGAAAAGTCACAGTGAGATTCTTCCCACCCCTACCCCCACCCCTCTTGGTCAGTCATGTGGCTTGAACTCTCGGCCTGGGTGCTGTCTCTCAGCTCTTCAGCTCAAGGCAAGTGCTCTACCTCTTAAGCCACAGTGCCACTTCCAGTTTTCTGGTAGTTAACTGGAGGTAAGAGTCTCATGGGCTAGCCTGCCCAGGCGGGCCTTGAACCACAATCCTCAGATCTCAGCCTCCTGAGTAGTTAGGATTACAGGTGTGAGCCACTGGAAACCAGTCACAGTGAGACTCTTATCTCCAATTAAAAACTCAAAAATTGGAAGTGGCACTGTGGCTCAAGTGGTAGAGCTCTAGCCTTGAGCACAAAGAGGTTCAAGGACAACGCCCAGGTCCTGAGTTCAAGCCCCATGAACACCAACAACAACAACAGAAAGATATACTTATGACTTAATTCTACAGCAGAGCTTGGGCATCTTTTATTTTAAGCTTCATAGGTTATTCCGGGAAGATTCTGGGAAGCTTAAGGCCCTGGGAATTCTCAATGTATTTGCTGAGCACAAATGGCTTCATACCCATAATCGCAGCTACTCAGGAGGCTGAGATCTGACTTGAAGCCAGACTGCAGGAAAGTTCACAAGTCTCTCATCTCCAATTAAAAACAATAAAACAGGACGTGGCGCTGTGGCTCAAATGGTAGAACACCACTCTTCAACAAAGAGAGCTAAAGGACAGCCCCGAGTTTAAGCTTTAAGCTTTAGTATAGGCATACATGATAAGCCCACAATTAACAGTCATTAATGTTTAAGTCAAAACATGTTAGTAGCTGGACCTAGTGGCTCACGCCTGTAATCCTAGGTACTCAGGAGGCTGAGATATGAGGATTGCAATTCAAAGTCTGGGAGACAGATCTCCAATTAACCACCACAAAACTGGAAGTAGTGCAGTGGCTCAAAGTGGTAGTGCACTAGCCTTGAGCTGAAGAGCTCAAGTACAGCACCCAGGCCCAGAGTTCAAGCAACAAGCTCAAACAAGGATTCCTTTTTTGCTTGTGAGTAGACAACTAGGCACTATATCTCATTCTTCATCTCCTTTGAATCTGGGGTGAAAGAATTAAAGATTCAGGGTTGGAAATATGGAATACTGGTAGAGTGCTTGCCTAGCATGCATGTAGCCCTGGGTTCTATTCTTCAGTATCACATAAACAGAAAAAGCCAGAAGTGCTGCTGTAGCTCAAGTGGTAGAGTAGCCTTGAGCAAAAGAAGCTCAAGGATGGTGCCAAGGCCTTGAATTCAAGCCCCAGGACTGGTTAAAAAATAAATTAATTAATTAAACCAGAACTTCTTTCTATGGTAACATTGCTTCCATATTTAGTATAACCTCTTTCTAATGTCTCTCCTGTCCCTTTACCGTAGAATATATGAAATTCAGAACTACATTTTCACCTCCCTGATGGCTAATATTTCAGATGTAAGGGCTATGGCCATACCTGAAAGTATGACCTCTCAAAAAAAAAAAAAAAGTCTTTGTCTTTAAGTATTGGCTCATTCAAAATAAATAATAATACTAATAATACTTAGTATAGCATCTACTTAAGCTTGTACAAGGTTCTGGGTTGCTATCCCCAGGTCTGGAAAATAACAATTTTTTAAGCTGAAATTCATATAACATAGAACCAGCCATTTCAAAGCAATTCAATGGCACTCAGTATAGTCACAATGTTGTGCAACAATCCCTTACATCTAGCTTCAAAACATTTCTAGTGCTCTAAAAAATAAACCTATCCATTAAGTAGTTTCTCCCCAGCCTCCAGCTCCTGACAACCACCAGTCTATGTCTGGAAGACAGAATTTTTGCTGTTGTTATTGTTTTTTTTGTTTGTTTTGTTTTTTTGGTCCGGTCGTGGGGCCCGAACTCTGGGCCTGGGCGCTGTCCCTCAGCTCTTCAGCTCAAGGCTAGCACTCTACCACTTGAGCCACAGTGCCACTTCCGGCTGTTTTCTTTTTGCTTATGTGGTGCTGAGGAATTGAACCCAGGGCCTCATGCATACAAGGCAAGCACTCTACCACTGAGCCACCTTCCCAGCCCCCTTGGAGTCAATTCTTAACATGGTTATTTTTTTTTTTTTTTGTCGGTCCTGGGGCTTGAACTCTGGGCCTGGGCACTGTCCCTGTGCTCTTCAGCTCAAGGCTAGCACTCTACTACTTGAGCCATAGCGTTTCTTCCAACCTTCTCTGTTTATGTGGTGCTGAGGAATCGAACCCAGGGCCTCATGCATGAAGGCAAGCACTCTTCATTGAACCACCTTCCCAGCCCCTTAACAAGATTATTTTTAACCTTTAGGGTTGACTGTTTAGAAGTGGAATATTTTTTTTGTATTTTTTTAGAAGTGGAATATATATATATATATATATATATTTTGGTAAGGCTTGAACTCTGGGCTTGAGCACTGTCCCACAGCTCTTCAGTTCAAGGATAGTGCTCTACCATTTGAGCCACTGCGCCACTTCCGGCTTTCTGGTGGTTAATTGGAAATAAGTGTTTTACAGACTTTCCTGCCCGGCTGGCTTTGAACTGTGATCTCAGCCTCCTGAGTTGCTAGGATTACAGGCGTGAGCCACCAGCCCACCACCGAAGTGGAATAATTTTTGAGGGAACAAATTCCTCTCCTGATAAAGGAGACAGAGTCCATTACCACTACATAAGTTCAAAACACTTGACCTATTTAATATTTGTATGGAAGGCAAGGCTGGTTCACTAAGTAGCCACAAAAACTCCTTCCAATTTGGAAATGTGTGTATGTATGCGAGTACATGCACATGTGTCTGTATTGGGGCTTGAACTCTGAGCCTTGGTACTGTCCCTGAGCTTTTTTGCTTAAGGCCGGTACTCTTCCATTTGAGCCACAGTTCTCTTTTGGCTTTTTTTGGTAGCTAACTGGAGATACCTCTCACTTATTACTTTTTTTCCCTGGGCTGGCTTCAAACCATCATCCTCAGATCTCAGCCTCTTGCCTAGGTAGGATTATAGGAATGAGCCACCAGCACCCTGCTGAAATTTTATTTTTTGAGCACATATCCTCCACATCCAGTATCTCAATGATGTAACATAGCAAGAATGTCTAATAGAACTTTCTGCAATGTGGAAATGTCTTACAGTTTTGCATGCTCAATAAAACAGTCACGCATGCCTGTAATCCTAGCTACTTAGGAGACTAAAATTTGACCACTACTGTTCGAAACCAGCCCTAGCAGTAAAATCTGTGCAAATCATCTTCAATTACTACCAAAAATACAGAAGTGGAGCTGTGGCTCCAGTGGTAGAGAACTAGCCTTGATGGCTGGGAAGGTGGCTCAGTGGTAGAGCACTTGCCTTGCATGCCTGAGGCAATGGGTTCTCCTCAGCACCACATAAGCTAAAAAAGAAAAAAGCCGTAAGTGGCGCTGTGGCTCAAGTGGTAGAGTGCTAGCCTTAAGCTGAAGAGCTGGGGGACAGCACCCAGGCCCAGAGTTCAGGATCCACGACTGGACCCCCCCAAAAAAAGAAAACTAGCCTTGAGCTAAAAGCAGAAAAGCCCAGGGCTTGAGTTCAAGCCCCAAGACTGGCATACAATAAAACCAAACCAAGCATCATCCTCATTGGTGATTATGCATCTAAGAAATGAATTTTTATACTTCACTTTACTTAACTTTCACTTAAATAGCTAATGAACACATTACAGCTGTATAGTTATAAACACACTTAAGCACACTTACCTGGAGAACTAGGTGCTGTGAGTGTGGAAGAGACAGGTTGGCTTTCTGAAGTACAAGCTTCACTTTGATTGAGAACAACTTCTAAATGTCTCCACTTCTGAAAACGACTATATTCTTGCTTTATGTTCTGAAAAATTTGCTCTAATAATAAATTTAAAAAAATCAGGCAGTTATTTTATGTTATTTCTTCAGCCTTTCTTCAGAAGGTGGAATAAACCACTTTCTTCTTCATGATGCTGGAGACAAGGCTTCTCTGCATGTCCTCTACCACTGAGCTTATCAATGAAGGAGGGTATGTTTACTAGGCTTTAATCCCTTTATATACAGGTCTCAAACTCCCCCTACATGTTATTAATACTAACAAGTAAATGTTTATACTGTATGCAACATTCCTTCTATAGCCACTGAGAAGGTGTGTTCTTATTGCCACTACTTCAAAAATGGATACAATAGCAGGTATGTAGGCATAAGCTACTTGGACAGTTCTCTTCACTTGTCTTCCTATAAGATGATAGATTTGCTGTATGCAGGAAGATTTGTCAATTTACAGTAAAAGAAAACACTCTAGGGGCTGGGAATGTGGCTCAGTGGTAGAGTTCTTGCCTAGCATACATGAAGCCCTGGGTTCAATTCCTCAGTACCACATAAACAGAAAAGGCCAGAAGTGGCACTGTGGCTCAAGTGGTGGAATGTTAGCCTTAAGCAAAAGAAGCTCAAGGACAGTGCCCAAACCCTGAGTTCAAGCTCAGGACTGACAAAAAAAAAAAAGACACTCTAGATCTGTAAAGTCTTTTTTTTTTTTTTGTTGGTCGTGGGACCTGAACTCTGGGCCTGAGCGCTGTCCCTCAACTCTTCAGCTCAAGGCCAGCGCCCTACCACTTGAGCCACAGCACCACTTCCAGCTTTTTCTGCTTGTGTGTTGCTGAGGAATCAAACCCAGGGCCTCATGCATGCAAGGCAAGTGCTCTACCACTGAGCCACTTTCCCAGCCCCTCTTTTATTATTTTTTTTAAGATGCCAATACTGGTGGCTTAAACTCAGGCACTCTCACTTGACGTTCTTGCTCAAGACTGGTACTCTACCACATGAGCTGCACCTCAACTTCTGGCTTTTTGCTGGTTTTTTAGATAGTCGCACAGACTTCTCTGCCCAACCTGGCTTAGAACCCCAATCCTTGATCTCAGCCTTATAGCTAGGATTATGTTCAGCACTGATCTGTAAGTTTTATATTTTCATAAACTACAGTATTAAGAGGTAAGTTTCTTATTAACCTAAACTCTCTAAAATGAAGCTTTTACTTCTCATAAGACTCTTAACCAAACAACAAAAACCATTATGTTCACAGTCTGGACACTGAGCAGAAGAACTGAGATTTAGTGTTTGGAATTGATGGTCAAGTCTTAGAAAATAATTTTCTGGGGGCTGGGAAGGTGGCTCAGTGGTAGAGTGCTTGTCTTGCATGAGTTAAGCCCTGTGTTTGATTCCTCAACACCACATAAGCAGAAAAAGCCGGAAGTGGTGCTGTGGCTCAAATGGTAAAGCGCTAGCCCAGAGCTGAAGAGCTCAGGGACCGCGCCAGAGTTCAGGCCCACGAACAACAACAACAAAAAAAGAAAATTTTCAGATCCCATTAGAGTTAATATTTGTTAGGATTCAGATTTTTCTGCGTCAAGGTAATCAACCAAATTTGGTAATGCTATTAAACAAAGTCCAGGAAACACCAATTACTAACCACCTTGAAGTATACTCCTAGCAAAAACAAAAAATCTGGAAGGATTTTTTTAAGTCATTCACTTTTATAGTATAAATATATTTTCTTAATAAAAACAAGCAAACACATGAAAATAAACCCAGAAAATTTTATCCTCTACTCAAATTATTCTAGTATACATTGTATATTTAATGGCAAGAAATATTTATTTTATTTATTTATTTGAGTCCAGTCGTGGGGCCTGAACTCTGGGCCTGGGTGCTGTCCCGCAGCTCTTCAGCTCAAGGCTAGTGCTCTACCACTTAAGCCACAGCGCCACTTCCAGCTTTTTTCTTTTTGCTTATGTGGTGCTAAGGAATTAAACCCAGGGCCTCAGGCATGCAAGGCAAGCGCTTACCACTGAGCCACCTTCCCAGTCCCTAATGGTAGGAATTAATACCATTTCCTACTAGCTATGTAACTAACTACGCCTCTGCCTCTCCCCCGCCCCCACCCCACACCCCTAGGGCTGAGGACTGAACTTAAGGCCTTGCACTTGCCAGGCAAATGTTCTTCCACTAACCTTTATGTAACTAAATCTGGGAAGTCATTCAGGATCTTCAGTAAAAATGTCAAATACCTAACTTATTAGGTTGCAAGAATCAAAAGAAAAATACTAATAATATTGCTAGTAATATTAACAAGTGGTTGTGTGGCTCAGGAACCTAACAAGAATTCTCAAAGTACCTCCATACCTAGGTAACTTTTCTTCTAACTCAATCCTCCATGCTAGAACATAAGGTTAGCAATGCTTTCCATTAAGAATGCTGTACAGAGTTCATGTTTTATATCCTTGTAGTTGTAAGGCTTTTTCAAAACTAATATTCTTCAAGTAAATGTACTTGGCAGACTCAATACAAGGATGTAAGGAACTGTAATGATTTGAAACAAGAAAGGACAAGTATGAAGACAATGCTCCTAAGAACAGAAGGCCATTGATAAACTTCTAAATGCCTCAGGTATTCCGTGAACAAATGGGAAGAAACAACCAAGAGACTAGTAGAAGGACTACCAACTTGTATCCATGGAATTAAGGAAGAGGTGTAATTTTCCTCTGAAAAAGGTCACACAGTGGGTGCCAATGGCTCATGCCTATATTCCTAGCTACTCAGGAGGCTGAGATATGAGGACATGGTTTGAAGCCAGCCCAGAGTCCATGAGACTCTTATCTCTAATTAACCACCAGAAGTGGCATTGTGGCTCAAAGTGGTAAAGCCTCTAGCAGAAAAAGCTCAGTACCCAGTCCTGAGTTCAAGCCCCATGACCACCACCACCACCAACAACAACAAAAGCCACATAAGACAGCAAACAGCATTTTAAAATTTTCCTTTTTTAGCAGTGGACGATGTTTTTTCTTTTACAATCATTAAGTGCAATGACATAAAGGAGTCCAAAGAGAAGAAACAGTTTTATTCACAACAAACTCCTTCACCCTTGATGTACCTACAAGGTCGAGTATTTGTTGCTTCAAAGATCTTAAAAGACTCTTATCTGGTACTAGTCCCCCCCCAAAAAAAAGCTATTCTCCAACTCTAAAGCCATGATCAATTAACTTTAAAATCTAGGCTCACCCCATATTCACAAAACCATTTCTGGAGATGGCAAGCTCCTCCATGATGGGTATCCACTTACTAAAAATCTAAGTAAAGGTTGGAATGTAGTGCAGTGACCAAGTGTTTGCCTAGTGAAGTGCTACATCCTGGGTTTGATCTCCACTACCAAAAAAGAAAATTAAAAAGAAAGGAAGGGAGGGAGAAATCTGTCAGGAGCCTGTGGCTCACACCTGTAATCCTAGCTACTTAAGAGGCTGAAATCTAAGGATTGCCTTTCAAAGGCAGCCCAGACAGAAAAGTCCCAGAAGACTCTTATCTCTCATTAACCACTCAAAAACTGGAAGTGGAGCTGTGGCTCAAGTGGTCAAGCACCAGCCTTGAGTACAAAGACACTCAGGGACAGCACCCAGGCCCCAAGTTCAGGCCCTACAACCGACCAAAAAAAAAAAGTCTAGGACTGAAAATGGGGCATGAAGCCTGGGTTCAATTCCTCAGTACCACATGAACAGAAAAAGCCGGAAGTGGTGCTGTGGCTCAAGTGATACAATGATAGCCTTGAGCAAAAAGAAACTCAGAAGCCAGGCGCTGGTGGCTCACGCCTATTATCCTAGCTACTCAGGAGGCTGAGATCTGAGGATCACAGTTCAAAGCCAGCCCAGGCAAGGCAGCAAAGTCCATGAAATTCTTATCTCCAATAAACCACTCAGAAAACCCGAAGTGGCACAGTGGCTCAATTGGTAGAACACTAGCCTTGAGGTGAAGAGCTGAGGGACAGCATTCAGGCCCAGAGTTCAAGCCCCATGACAGACAAAAAAAAAGAAAAGAAAGAAAAAGAAAAAGAAAAGAAACTCAGGGACAGTGCTCAGGCCCTGAGTTGAAGCCCCAGGACTGGCAAAAAAACAAAAACAAAACAACAACAACAAAAACCCTAAGTAATAAATGGCTAATTTCATAGGCTGTTTCCCAAAAGCTGTTCTTATTATGTATCTTTTTTGGGAGGGGGGTGGGGAGGCAGTGATGGTTCTGGTATTTGAATTTAGGGCTTTGCACTTTTAGGCAATCATTTTACCATTTGAGTCACATCTCCCAGACCACAGATACTTTCTGTAAAGTGAAGTAAAAAATGTCTTGACTATTTCTGAAAGAAGTTTACAATCCTCAAGGTAACACTGGGATGTTACAATTAAATGAAGCCAGATGGTTAAACTCATTTTTCTGACTTTATTCTTAACTGTATAGCAACTGATGTGTGTCCCCCCCCTGCATTGTTCAAATAATGAACTATTTATTGCATTGTATTTCTTTCATGACAGAACCAAATTCCAGTAAGCATTAAGAAACATAGGCCTGGAGGTATAGTTCAGTGGTGAAGTGAATGCAAGCTTGAGGCCTGGGGTATTATCCCAAGCACTACAAAGAAATAAAAATTAAGAAATGTAACTAAGAGGGCTTGGGGTTAGCTCCTCCAACACATACTTGAGGCCTTAGGTTCAATGTCCAACATTCCCTCCTCCCCCAATGTCCTCATTATAGCATTGCCATATTTAGGCTTCCAAATAATTTCTCATGTGAACTACAAAGAAACTAGTGTAGGAAGAAAGTATTGAAGAAACAAAGACATAAAACCTGTATCATCACTGCAAGTGGACACCTGTGCCCCTGACCCTCCCCCTTTCTTATGAGATGGAATGGGCTCTCTGTTGCCCAGGCATGTGTGGAACTCCTGGGCTCAAGCAATTGCAATGCTCAGTCTCAGTCTTCCCAGTAAGCAGAACTACAGCCCAGCTTCCTTTCTCCCACGCCTCCGTTGATTACAAAAACACTTTTCCAAATGTTACCTCATGTGCAGTACAACATTAAATAATCATGGAATTTAAAGAACAGAGTTCCTATGTGATAGATTAGGTAATGAGTCAATGACTCTTTGGATTAGCAAACAAAAAAAAAAGTAGGTCTGGGGTAAAGAGCAGTCATGGTTTAAAGAAAATATGTAAGTCTGGAGAGCTAAATTGGCTGCAAGATGTAAGAAGGCCTGAAATCTGCGCAGTTAATACACAGTAAAAAGGAAATAAAATATAAAGACACCAGTAAATAAAGAGGTGATTAAAGAATAATCTTAAAAGAAGACTTCAAGGTTTTGCTCAGTTTAAGACTAGGAAAAAAGCAACCAACAACAAAGAAATGACTTGCCAACATTCACTTTTGGGAACCCTTCATTTTGGAAGCCCTTTTAAAGTGCTGAATATTAATGCTAATGCACCCCCCGCTCTACTCCTGCAATATGATAGGTATGTTCACCGTCACATGAATCCTTCGCTTTCCTTGGCTGAAGTGGAATGCCTTACTGAAGAAGAGTCCCTGGGCTACAGTTGAATTCCTGCTACCAGGCCAATGTATGCTAAAGGATTCTCAAGTTCTGGCCAACGGCATAACCCATAACCCATTTCAAGCCATATATGGTACAAGACAATAGACATACAGTAAAACAGGGCCAATCCTTTCGAAATGGTCAGGTGGAAATCGAATCCCATGGTTCCTGAGGCCTGGGGTCCTAAAAACCTCTGCAAATGAAGCTGTGTGGTGGGTGCCGTACCAGCCACAGCACGGGCTTGGGGTGGCACACTCTCACTCTTCCCCTCGACCCGTCCCCCCACCCCCCTCAAGGCCGAGTTCGTGAGCAGAATCCAATTTCCCACGGCCCACTGGGTCTACAGGGCGGATCTGTGCAGCAGACGCCGGAGGGGGTTCGGGACCGGGAGGCCCCCATCCAGAAGGGTTTTCCCACCCCTCCAGGATCTCTACCTCCAAGAAAACCGAACGTCGACATGGTGGGGCCACTACCCTCCCGGATGTCTCGCGTCCCCGGAAGCAACCAGGCCCATCGGCACCCCAGTTCCCTTTTCTCAAAGCAAAGAAGGGGTCCGTGCGGGAATTCACCCGGCGCCCATGACCCCCTGCGCCCCCCACCCCCAGCCTGGGCCTGGCTCCCTGCCAAGCCCGCAGCGGTGCAGGTTACCCGGAGTTGGAAGGCGCCGCTCGCTGCCGGGCGAGGCTGGCTGCTGGAGAGTCGGCGACAGGGTCTGAGTCGGAAACGGCGGCGGCTCGGCGTCCGGGGGCCTCAGGCCCGGTGTGGGGCCGGGCAGAGGGGCGCAGCGCCGCCGCTTTGGGGAACCGGGGCTCAGCAGCGCCGCCTCGAACTCCATAGGCCGTTTCAGTGTCGCCCCGCACGCCATTCCGCTGAGGGGGCAGGGACCAGGAGCGGACGCGGCACAAACTGTGGCCCGAGCTCCGGCTGCTCACCGGGGCTCACAAGCCAAGCCGGCTCCAATGGCGCCTCCAGCACCCGGCAGCGGCGCTGGCCCCGCCTCCTGTGACGTCACGGGAACTCGCCACCGCCCGACGGGTGGGGGGGGGAGAAGACGGAAGAGGGACGCTCCGGGAGGAATGTCGGCTACCGCCCGGCCTGCGGCGCCCCCGCCGAGGAAGTGGAACGATCTGGGAGGAGAGCGCGGTCGCCAAGCAACGCCGAAGAGGCCCCTACTCCCGCCTCGGCCCGGCCCAGGGTCCCATTTCCCCCAGTCAGCTTCCCCCAACCCCCACTCCAGGGCGGCCGCGCCGGGGTGGCCTCTGAGGTTTTCGCACCTGCGCGGCCCGGGTGTGGGGGGAGGGGAGAGTTTGGAGTGGTTGGGTGAGAGATCACGGGGCTAGGCGGGGCGGAGAGGGGAGGGGGGCTGGGAATTCCGGGTGGCCTGGTGACCTCCTTCTGGGAGGTTCCCGGTTACCTCGATCTTGTGATCTGGGAGGAGGTGATTCTGAAAGGTCTGCTGAGTCCGGAGAAATCTGCGCTCAGATCTTACTGTTTTTATATGTCAGTATATAAATCAGGATGGGTATTTTTAAATTCCATTTTATTGTAAAGATGCTGTACAGAGGGGTTACAGTTACACGAGGAAGGTAATGAGTACATTTCTTGTCGAGCAAAATCAGGCTCGATTTTTAAGAAGTCCACAAACCCATTGAACATAATTTGTAGAGGTTTGTGGATGTGTTTCGGGGCCAGATGACACATACATGAAGCAATACATCAAATGGCCCTGTGGGCCAAAAGTTATTTTTAAAAGGCTGAGGGGTAGAAGTGCTTGCCTAGCTTGCACGAAGCCCTGGGTTCAATTCCTCAGTACAGCATACACAGAAAAAGCCGGGGGTGGCGCTGTAGCTCAAGTAGTAGAGTAGTAGAGTGCTCGCCTTGAGCAAAAGAAGCTCAGGGACAGTGCCCAAGTCCTGAGTTCAAGCCCAGGACTGGCAAAAAAGAAAAAGAAACTGCGAGTGAGGGAAGGGGTGATATTGTACAAAAAGAAATGTATTCAGAAGGCTGAGATCTGAGGACTGACCCTGGTTTCAAGCCAGCCCGGGCAGGAAAGTCCATCAGAATTCATCTGCGATAAATTACTCAAAAACTGGAAGTGGTGCTGTGGCTCAAAGTGGTAGAGCAGCTTAAGAGTCAGTTCCCCAGCCCCTGAGCTCAAACCCCACAACCGACCAAAGAAAAAGGATCTGGCCCAGAAACCGGTGGCTCATGCCTGTAATCCTAGCTACTCAGGAGGCTGAGATCTGAGGATCTCGGTTTAAAGCCAGCCCAGGGAAGGAAAGTCCATGAAACAAACCACCAGAAAACTGGAAGTGATGATGTAACTCAAGTGGTAGAGCGCTAGCCTTGAGCTGAAGAGCTGAGGACAGCGCCCAGGACCAGAGTTCAAGCTCCACAACCGACAAAGAAAAAGAAAAAAGAAAAGGATTTGTCTTCAATATATCTCTATGATTGGCTTTCCAGGACAGTCCAGATTATAGATACTCTCCACTAGGCAGGATGACAGTAAATGTGCCCCAACACTTTACTTGGAAATAGAGGCACATTATCTCCATTTTTTTTTTCACTTCGTTTCTTCCCTGTTAATTTGTTCTGGGCCTTTAGATTCTTCCTTTTAAAAAAAAAATTATTTTTGGTGGTGGTGTGCTTTGAACTCAGATATTGAACTTGCTGGACAGGAGCTTTAAGGCTTGAGCCATGTCTCCAACCCTCCTGACATAGGTTATGTACTTTTGCTTTTTTTTTTTTTTACTTCTTTCTCTCTCTCTTCCCCCCCCCCTGCAGCGCCACTTCCAGCTTTTTTTTTTTTTTTTTTTTTTTTTTTTTTTTTTTTTTTTTTTTTTTTGGTGGGTCATGGAGCTTGAACTCTGGGCCTGGGCACTGTCCCTGAGCCTCTTCATATCAAGGCTAGCACTCTACCACTTGAGCCACAGTGTCACTTCTGGCTTTTTTCTGTTTATGTGGTGCTAAGGAATCGAACCCAGGGACTCATGCATGCAAGACAAGCACTCTACTACTGAGCTACCCTCCCAGCCTTTTGTATTTTTTTTTTACAATAGCAGAAATAATTCTAAGATGACTGAATATACTAAATGTTAAATTTATTTATTTCGTGGTGCTTGGGTGTGAATCCAGGGTCTTGGATATGCTAGGCATAAACTATAACTGAGCGACATCTCAAACCCAGTTTATGGCTATTCTAGCCCATTGGTTGTTAATAAGAAAGTAAAGGAGGTTGACAATAGGATAAATTAAAAACACATACACAAAAGAAATGCAACATTAGAGCCAGAGAAAACAGATTTATCTACTCATATTGGAGTTAAGTATATGTGTAACAGAATATGGAATTTAGTTCTACCTTCTTGAGTAGTAGGGTATTCATCTGAAAGTAAACAGCAGAGGAAACAGAACCTAGTTTTGTTTTCTGTATTTATTAGGAAAAAGTGAATGCAGTATAACAAATACTAAAATAAAACTCATATGGATTTTTTGTTTGTTTTTTGTCAGTCCTGGGGCTTGAACTCTGGGCTTGGGCACTATTCCTCAGCTCTTCAGCTCAAGGGAGCGCACTACCGCTTGAGCCACAGCATCACTTCCAGTTTTCTAGTGGTTTATTGGAGATAAGAGTCTCACGGACTTTCCTGCCAGGCTGGCTTTGAACCGTGATCCTCAGATCTCAGCCTCCTGAGTAGCTAGGATTACAGGTGTGAGCCACCAGCGCCCGGCCTATATGGATTTTTTTTTTTTAAATCTGTTATGGGCTTGAACTCTGGGCCTGGGTGCTCTCCCTCAGTTTTTCAGCTCAAGTCAAGTGCTCTACCACTTGAGCCACAGTGCCACTTCCAGTTTTCTGATCATTTATTGGAGATAAGAGTTTCACAGCTTTTCCTTCCCTCACTGCCTTTGTACCAGGATCCTCAGATCTCAGCCTCCTAAGTAGCTAGGATTGCAGGCATGAGTCACTGACATCCAGCTTCATATGGAGTTTTTTGGTCTAATAAAAGCCCAGGACATCAAAATCAATGTAATGATGGTCTTTTTCTGTCCCTTAGCTTTTTCTTTGGTGCTCTACCACTTCAACCACACCTCTACTTCAGGCTTTTGGGGGTGTTAATTGGAGATAAGAGTCTCACAGACTTTTCTGCTTGGACTGACTTTGAACCAATGCTCAGGTTTCAGCTTCCTGAGTAGCTAGAATTATAGGTATGAGCCACAGTGCCCAGCCTAAATAGTACTTCTTTTAGCTGGAGCTTTGCTAAATGCTTTGATAAGTCACTGTGATTCTTTAAAACTTTGAGCATGCCTTGTGATATTAGTCTTTTAAAAGAGGAAGGTATAATTTGCTTATAAGTCTGCGCTTCAAAACATACATCCCGTGAGAATAATAACCAGGTCTTATTCATATGAGTTTCCCCATCCCAAACACAGTGTTTGAATACAGCTGGGATAGGCACAGAATAAATATTGGTCAAATGAATAAATGGCAATTATTGTTCTCTCCATCGCTGAAAGCTGACAGACCACATTGCCAAGTGAGGGTGGATTTAGATGATTCAGAAACTAAACAAGTAGGTAGTATAACCTATTATATGCTAGAGATGACAGTGTCTTAACCAGAGAGTGTTTTGAGGGAGACAGATGGGCTGTCTTGAAAGGGCTACTCTGTGTAATGTCACTTTATGAGGTCACTACAGGCTGGATTTACTTTGCTGATACAGTCATATATATGTACACACCCACACATGCATTAACTTGAGGATCCCCTTATAAGCTAGGCCCTATATTATTATCATAGTATTGTAGTTAAAGATACTTCAGTAGAAAAGAAGTCTTGCTTTCTGCCTTCCCAGGACATCTAGTCTGTTAGAAATGACTGACATGAATCAATCACAACCATATTTTATTAGGAACAAATGCTAGGAAGGTAAGGCTCTGATGAGAGCATAGAACTGAAAATATGTATGTATATCACAATGAAAAGGCACTCATAGATTCTTTGTGTGATTAATTTGTCTAATAATAAAAAGTTCAGTGTCCATAATCCTAGCTACTATGGAGGCTGAGTTCTGTGGATCTCAGTCAAAGCCAGCCTGAGAAGAAAAGTCCATGAGATTTTTTTTGGGGGGTCCGGTTGTGGGGCCTGAACCCTGAGCCTGGGCGCGGTCCCTCAGCTCTTCAGCTCAAGGCTAGCGCTCTACCACTTGAGCCACAGCGCCACTTCCAGCTTTTTTTTTTTTTTTTTTTGCTTATGTGGGGCTGAGGTATGGAATCCAGGGCCTCATCCATGCAAGGCAAGCGCTCTACTACTGAGCCACCTTCCCAGCCCCAAGTCCATGAGATTCTTATCTACACTTAACCACCAAAAAGCTGGAAGAATATTGGATAAAGTGGAAGAGTACTAACCTTGAGCAAAACAGCTCAGGGATAGCACCCAGGCCCTGTGTTCAAGCCCCAGAACTAACTGGCATGAAAGAGGAAAAGAGAAAGGGGGGGGGGGTAGAGGACTATACTATCCAAACCTAGATACTATAAGGGAAAAAAAAGAAAAGAGAAGGGAAGGGAAGGAAAAGTGACAAATAGAAAAAGAAGAGAACATTAAAACTTTCATGTAAGTTTATAAACAAGCAACAAATGTAAGAGGAAAATGCAATAGAGAGAAGAAAAAGCAAATATTTGTCATAGAAGGAATTCTTCCAAAGTAACAACTTATTGGCCTAGCAACTAAATAGAAAAATGGACAAAGGGCATGAGGAAGTAAGTCAGGAAGTACCAGTCCCATGTTACTTTCACCTGTCATATTACTGAAAAAGAGAAGGTGTTATATATTTCTGTGAATTCTAACAGCCTTTTGGAAAGTTATTTTAAAAATACAGAGCTGGGGACATGACTCAGGTGGTAGAGCACCTGACTAGCAAGCATAAAGTCTTGATTTCCAACTGTAGCACTTGCAAAAATAAATAACTAAATAATATATATCCTTTCATCTAAAAATAAAATCCCACCTCACTGTAGGCATATTATAACAGTACAGAAGAGCTGGGCACTAGTGGCTCATGCCTGTAATCCTAGCAACTCAGGAGGCTTAGATGTAAGGATCATGGTTCAAAGCCAGCCCAGGTAGGAAAGGCCATGAGGCTCTTCTCTCCAGTTAACTTCCAGAAAACCAGAAGTAGTGCTGT